ATTTTAAGGTCGGTTTTAAATTCGTCTCACTTCACTTCACAGTTTAATATTTAGGTTGTTTCACAGTTAAGAAATATTTTTGTTGTTATTGAAATGTGGAAAAGGTTTTTTATCCATATCAAGTACGATTGAAGTAAAAAGAAAAGAAAAGAAACAAGAAAGAGGAGGTGAACAAAAGATGGACTTTGTGGTCTGATCTTTGTTATATTTTTCATCATTGTCTATGAACTAAAATAATTCAGCTGGCTAGGTATTATGTTGTACTTTCAACAAATTCACGTCCCACATTCGTTAATTTCAATTGTAGAAAATTAAGGCTAAATCCGCCATTGTGTTGTAGTTGTTGATTTCATTAAAAAAAACGTTGCGCAAGTGACAAAAGAAGCGTGGAAATTAGTTCATTAATTTCATTACATTATTATATGAAAATTTTGACAAGATACAGAGATAATAAGAGAAATTCATCATAAAAACTTCCATTCAATTGTCGCAGTGAACAATATGAACTTTTTTTTTAACTTAAAGAGCCTTTTCAACGTATTTGTAATACAACATGCGACCAGTACTTATTAAGATTGCTTAAAAAAAGTATCGTGACCTCTTTGGAAACTTCACAAAGAGTTATTGGCAGCATTGTTACCAGATATTGTGGCGCGATGTCTCATGGCTCTGGCAGAGGTCGAGCACTGCTTGAGCAATGTCTTCCGCAAAAACTTCTGAACACACACCAGCCAGTGGTGAGAATCGGATGCTTTGCTAAAAAACTGGGTACTGTTATTTAGGGGAAAAATATATGTAATGTTTAAAAGCGAAAGCGGTGATAGCGTCGGAACTAGAGCTTGGGAAGTATAATAGATGTTGCTCTTGATAAGAATGTAGCTTAACTTTTGTGTTAAATACTTTTACTTTTTTTGGTACAAAACATGTACTAAATGAGGATCTTTGCGTAGTTCTCAATGCATACTAATCAAGTAATATTCTCTTCATTCATTTATTTCTTTTTTAAATATTAAATGATGATTGTAAGTGATATTTATTATCGTTTAATTTTAAATGAATACGAACAAAAACTTCTTAATTGTGAATAATTCGAATTGACCAATCTGATGTAGAAGGGGAAATCCTACTTGTTTTGTTACTTGATAAAAAAAAGAGTGTTACAAGATCAGACAAAGGAAAAAAATATTACGTCATTTACGGACGTTAAGGAAACGGCCATGACGGGAGAACAGAATAGACTTCACTGAAAATATACACGAAATGGAATCCTTAATAAATTTACTGGCACATAATAATGTCGTTAGGACAAACCTTGACGAAGTAATATTATTCTGCATTAAAAATATCAAAGTGAACGCTTCAAAATGTTACCTTGAGTATATTATTGAAGCATATTTGAAAGACGTATAAACGCAGAAGTTTCGCACGCGCGGTCACGTACGCGCACGCAGCTGTGACGTCACGGCTTGCTGCTCATACTGACTGACTGGCTGGAAGGTAATTCGTTTGCTTGTACGAGGAAAGCAACTGCTTGCTTACATACGAAATACGAATTCATAAAATGTCCTTGAAAATTTTCGATTTACAGACGTTTTCTGTCATAATATATCGCCAGATAAAGAAGCAAAACTACAAATTCTTTTGTAAGACACCCAATTTGACCACGCTGGATTTGTCAATGTTATTAAAATTACTTCAAGAGTTTTATTTATTTGATAATGATTATTTATTATTGTGGAATGTAAGGGACATTACGTGAGCCTGCACTGAATTCAGTGAAAGCGTACACATTAGCGATGTCCGTCATATGTGCTGCCATTTGTATGCAACAGGACAGGCAGACCCAAAGATGACAGGGTCGTACTCAATAATTTAGAATAATTAATCATTTTTGAAGCGAATTTTACGACAAATTAAGTATGTACTTTTTTAATAAAACAAGAACCATTCTGTACGTTTGTACTGTCAAATTAAATAATTTAATAATCAGTGAGATTTGTTTGTTAGAAAAAAAAATCCAAGTAAATTTGGCCACCTTAAAGATAATTGTAGGTAAAAATTAAAATAAAATTACATTTGCATTATTACAAATCACTTGTCGTGACCGTTATTTTGTAAGTTAAACTATATAAGCACTGAATACAACCCTGTGCACATTAGGCTTAGTCAGAGTTTGTGGCACTGCATCTTAATGACCTCACGTGGATTGATGAAATGCCTGTTTCACACGAGGGTAATACAATAAGGCGGAACAGAAGAGACAGCGCAGAAATACTATTGGTTGAACACTCAGTTACTGTCAAACTAATATGCACTGTCCTGTCTCGGCGTGTGTCATTGTTCTGCCTTCGTGTGAAATGAGAATAAGGACGCGTGTTGGTAATGGTGACGGGGAGGAGCGGCCCTAATCGAATTCTAACAACCTTTGTAATGTGGGCTGAAATCATTGCAAATGTTACATTAGTATTAGCTTTTATAATGTTAATCTAAAATGACTTGATTATAATATATAAAAACATTTATTTACAGACGATTTGAATGATAACTTATTCTATAAAATGTCTTGTCCTACTCTATACAAATAATTTAATAGAATCTTATTTAAAAAATTCTCGTATCACAACATTAGTTACCATACTCCTCCGAAACGGCTTAACTGATTTTTATGAAATTTTATATGCAATTTGAGTAGGTCTGAGAATCGGCTACCTTCTCCCGCGATAAATAGTATTGTATGAAATTAACATTGGAATTTAGATATCAATGAAAAATAATTATTATACAGCCACTCGCCACTCACGACTTATATTTCTGTAGCAGCAACAACTGGTTATACTCGATGCGACGAGATATATCTTCAAAATTAGACGTGAATAAGACGATTTTATAATGCCTCATGAAAGTTTAAACAATTTGAAAATATAAAGACAATTTGAAATAACTATGCGATAATGTATTTATCCAAGTTAACCTTTTCCAAATCATATGGATGTCAAATGCAACTAATAAGAGCTCTATTGTTCGAAGCTATCATACAGAGCTGGTGGAGCACAATGGTCTGACTGTCAGTGATCGTTGCATTGTCACAATACATTACTCTAATTTACATCACTATGCGGCGATATGTTGCTTTTGGATGGAGGATTTGTTTCTTTGTTTACAATAAGTCTTTTTATTAAAGGTTAATTTAAAGTTATGCCATTATAGTCTTGGAGATTATACAACAATAACTCATATATTATTTATTTAAATAAAAATTCAGTAGAAATTCTTGATTTTTATTTTATTATCTTAGTCATATTGCTTATGATCAAAATGATTATAAAATCTAATATAAAATAGAAAATCAAAACTATAAAAATCGCTCTACTTTTTTAATACTTTTATTTTTACAATGACAACAAAGGTAGACATGATCGTTTGAAACAATGAAATTTGAATAAAGTGAAAACCCGATAAAAATTATAGAATACGAGTAAAAGCAACAAAGTTATCTCCATTGAAAAGTTCACGGTACAAATGTTGAACTAAGAGGCAAGTTATTTGAACCGAGTCTCATGCGACAACACAATGCAGAGACCTCGTCGCTGGCTTTCTAATGCAGACCAAAAAAATTGTAGCACAATGTCATAGTGAAAATATTACTAGTTTATAATATGTCTACATACGATACGTGATATAAAGAATTATAAAAGTAAAATTTGTATAGGTGTTCTTGTCTGACGCAATTCTCCATTGTACGAGACTTCAAGCAGACTGTTGACAATGTCTGCATTTTATTTGCGTTTAAACCGTTCCATTCTTCGCTAAATAATACCGAAATGATTACATTTCAATGAAACAATATAAAAATTATTGATTTACTTTTTTTATTAATTTTATATTATACATTGTCTATGACGTCTTCTTTTGTGTTCATGTGAGTTATTTGCAAATAATATTTTGTAATTAAAAGGGGATGAACTTTAAACACTTTTAAATATTTCTTCTGACTTTAAACGAAATACATTATAAAAACAATCGTTTTAACCAATAACTAAATGAAAATATGTTTTATGTTAACCTGACAAAATGTCAGTATTTTCACTGTCACTTTCACTACGAACTAAAGTATTAAGCATTTATCATGTTAGACACGCTGAAACTTGATTGTTAATTAGTCAAAGTCAAGCGTAGGAAACGCTAGGTTTCTATACGCAGTTAAAAACAATTGCCAAGCAAACGGGCGGAAAGCGGGAACAAATACGTGTTTCCTGCGTACTATCGGGGAATCTGGCGGTATTCCACTTGTACATTTCACAACTAATGAGATAACTATGCATACAGATAACAGGAACCCGCTTCTAAGAAAAGATTTCTGTCAGTGGTACACGACTAATTGCTTTTTACTAATATCCCTTCGTTTGCCTCACTGCTATAATGGGTTCTTATGTAAGAAGGCACGAAGTTTGTCTCATTGCAAGGAACAAAGAAAATTATTCTGTAAGGTCAACACTGCGAAGGGTCTTGACTGTACACCGTCAGAGGAAGTCGTCAGGAAGTTCCCACTGTCACTTTGAAGACGTCACATACTTAAGTCTCATGGTTTATTGAAAATGCATCACCTTAGGAAATATAACATGGGTACTAACGAACATATCTTCGTATTGTGTTAAGTAGATATGAACTGTATTTAAAATGTGCTCACATTTTATATAAAGTATAACATTCAAATGCTTAAAGGTTTAACATAAATGAATTCGCTCTCCTAGCATAAATACAAAACAAAATTTTAACCGTATTCAGCGTAATTTTATGATCGAAGAGAGAATCTTAAAGTTAAAATGAGAAATCTGTGCTGAAAATCTCATTGACTGATCATTAAATATCTTGATGAGCCGTAAGCACCAGGCTGTAAGCAGCGGCAGGTTGTACTTATTATCTTTTGCAGTTTCTCTGTACATATAGTACTCGCGACGTTCTCGTTTTGCATGTTTACTAATGTTATCTTTTGTTTTTAGGAGTTGGAGCAGGAGAAGCACCTCCTGCGGCGGCGACTGGACACGACGCAGGGCGAGTACGAAGCGCGCTTGCTCGAGCTACAAAATGATATTCAACACCTCACCAACAAGATCGATTCAAAGGACACCAGCCTCAAACAGGTAAGCATGTAGCTTTCGGGAAGACGCTTTTATAGAGCGGTGTTGATAACACCTTCACTGCCACTGACCGTCTTAATATAGTATTTGCCGATGATGTCATGACGTAACGCGTTAACTGACAGTACCGAGAAGGCAACCGCGGTGTTAGTGGGAGTTGGAGTCATCGGCAAACTTTCCGCGCGCTTAATACTTAGAACTTTCAGACAAACTTATGACATACAGCGATGTAATATTTGCCTGTAATGTTCAATACTATGTTATATGTTATTTTGTTAAGACCATTATACCCCGTGTGAACAACTCAAATTATATTAAACATCCGACATAGAATGCATTATCAGGTGCCAATCTTAATAGGCTCCGATGCCCGCGAGGCTAATTGTCGAGTCCCAGTGTCGGCTGAACAATGGACTGCGTTCAGCCGTTGACCTCTAAATCACGAAAAATAACTATTGTTAACTAAATTCACGGGTTTTTTCACCGGACGAGGTAGAACCCTACGTGTCGAGTCAAGGCTGTTTGTGGGGCCCGATTTACAGCGCTTTTTATTTAACAAAAAAATCTAAAGCAGAAATACAAAAGCAAAAGTTTTTCTTCTAGAGGCCTTTTAAAATTTTACATGTTTCAATGAACCCCTACGTTAACTTGTAAACTTTATTACCCATGATAGTGAAACCTCTGTTTGAACATCCATAGATTCCCGGAGACATAATTGGTCTACTTTTAGTGTTATTGAATTAAACCATTCACCCTTATTCGTTTTATACGATATAAATAAAAACATCCAATGTTTACAAGGCATCGAGTTTCCTCGTAGTCATTTGTTACTATCAGTGAAAGAAAGACAATTCCGTGAACAATGTGGCTTTTTTACTGAACGTTAATTGTACCTTCAATATTCAGTTTCTGACATACTAAGGTCATGGCTTACAATAATGACTAATAGATTGATGACTATCGGCTTTGTTGACCTTGAAAATATGAACCGCTGTGAGTGGAGCCCCACCTCACCGAAACCATACGTTATAGCGCCGTAAGGAAATTTCTAGCTCGGATTATCCTACCGAGGATTATGAGCTTTACTTGATCAACTGTTAACGTAAAGCAATTAGGATTTAATAGGATTATAACAGCACTTTGCTAATGTGATACTTAATATTATACATCAATAACTATACAAAATTATAAAGTTCAAGTAAGGGATTGAAAACAGTTACAAAAGAGACAAATAAATCATTTTTGTATGATTAGGGATTTTATCAAAATGAATTGATATATTCAATAAGCAAATAATAATTTATTATTATTGTTTTCAAATGACCCAGAATATATGTAATACGTATTTTCAAGTGAATTTCATGTATTATACCAAAGCTGAAAATAAATTAAAGTAGGTTTATATTATAGTGACGTCAGTAACGTTGTTTCTAATTAAAAGGTTCCGATGAATTAGGTACCCTGGCGTGTCCCCCGGCAAGGTCGCCCGGCCACGCCTAGACACCCTAATTGCCTGCCACTACCTACACTGTGACGTCACAGTGCTAGGCGCAGCCGCCGTGTCGTAATTAATTTAAAAGCTGTTTTATTTATAAACCAAAATAGCTATAATAATCTGACGAGCGATTGATTTTCGTGTTACTAAATGGTTAAACTTACTGTGAAAGTCCTATAAAAAGATGCTCACAAAAATAATAACTAAGATTGTTATAGGTTAAAGTTAAGTAAGAGTTAAGTAGAGTTGAAATATAACTAGTTAAAAAGAATATAAACGACGAACGATCTTGCCTTTTTACATATAAAAGGAATGAGTAATAATGGGGTTACTATGGTCCTATTCATAACCACACCTTCTATTTGCCTTCGTTATTTCTTTGACCAACACTGTCTCGGTCGTAAAATATGAAACGACGAACATAAAACAGCAACTCATTGCATATTGACGCCGACTCAATCAATCGAACACGCCGAGTTAAGCTGCGCACTATTGCCAACAGAGCATCTTATTTATCTGCAATGTTTGTTAACCGAACTGAATTTCAACAAAATTATTACTAAATTACAATGAAATTATACTAAAATTGCAAATAGAGATTTGTTTATGAATAAACTACGAATAATCTTATTATTCACACCGTTTAAATATTAATAATAATAAAGTAACCAGCTAAATTAAATGACCAAATTCTTCCAAAGAAGTAACTAATATGCGTTGGTAAGGACCAGTTACAAAACTACCTGAAGGTTACGCCGGAAGTCAACAACGACCTCGTAGGACCTCATCACGTCGACAAGCCGAGGTTCGGAAGCTCTTGTCGGTCTGTCATCATATCCTCTCGTAACACTGCCCTTCCGACGTATCTACTCAATAACAACTTAGTTGTTTATATTTTTAGTGTCGGTTTTCACTGCTTATTGTCTCTGTTCATTCAAAGACAATAAAAGGGATTACAATAACTATATCGACAGTGGAAATTTACTGTTATATTAATTAGATAGATTTCGTAAGTGATTGGCCACACCTCTTCCTCTTTACTAATTACGACGCAAACTTGTCTTGCATAAATTTAAAACTTAATGGTAATTATGAGTCAAAAATTAACCGAATCCGACATTTAATGCAAGTTTTCATCACCATAACATCACTACGTAGAAATTTAAGGAGTGTTTTTTTTGTTTTTTGTTTATAGTAATGGTAGATCGGATTGCGACTACAAATAATATCATCCTTAAACTCAAAACATCTCACCTAAGCCTACGTTGTACATCGGCGTCACGGCCGCTTGCGACCTCAGACCTGCAGGAAACCGTGGTTTTGTAATACCTCAGTCCATTATGATACCCTATAACGATAGTCCGAAGGGTTAGATTGGTGCAGCAGCGATCCATCTGCTGTCTTTCCACGCGTTAACGTGATTAACCACGCCAACTGTAGGCGCTGTTCGAGCTCGGCCGAACATAGACTTGAGTTTTTCTGGAAGCGTTAACTAGTTAGCTTTTTGTATGTTTATTCAGAGTTTGATTGATTTTTTAAACATTTACTAAAGTCACTATTGGGTTCCATACAGGTAACGATGTGAAATAAATGTTGCGTCGATAATATTTCAATCATCGTATTTTATTTCAAATATCTACTTTGAAATACCAATGCTATTTTATCAGACACCATTCCTTATGCTGCATCATTCTATTCACTTTGAATATACTCTAACCTTTGTTACACAGTTACAGATCAATGTTACAGTTATCTAAAGCTAGATCTACAAAAACTACGTTTTTAGATCAAATAAAATTGCCAGTAAGGACACTTTTAATGTTAAATATAAAATTATACGAAATATATTTATCACTAAGAGTAACCAGTTGATGAACAAATTAAAACAAACTCTATTCGTTTAAAGATAAAGACTGATTTATATTATTAGCTTAATGGTATAGTTTGTTTAATTATCCGCAATAAATTGTACTCCGCCAATATCTACGCATTGAACCATCGATACATCAGATTCACAATTAGATCAGGGTCATCTTTGAATTACTTAATAACATTTTTATAATAATTTTGGTTGAAATTTAACATCGATTTCCTTGTTTCTATTGTATTAGCGTGATGAGGAGAAGGCCGGCCTGATAGCAGACCTGACGGCGCAGAACTCTCGGCTGACGACGCAGCTGCAGGCCAGCGCGGCGACAGAGGCGCAGTTGCTGGCTCAACTGGACGAACTCAAGGACCAGTGCTCTATGCGGAAGACCAGTCTGCAGGTACACAGCACATTCCACAAATCTTTATAAATATAAACACAAAAAACAAACAACAATATCAAAGAGGCATCAAAAAGAGATGGATTTCCGTAAAAAGTGTCCTCGACACTCGGTACTTTCAATTGTAAAAATAGAGCGTGAGTTTACCTGTACTTAAACATATTCATTAACACTAAAATATTTAGATCCACAGTGTTTAAAAAAAACTGTTCCTTCAGGAGCACATGCAAAGCCTGAAGTCACTGAAGGCGGAGCTGGCGCTGGTGAGCGACAAAAAGACCGAATTGGAGCGGCGGCTGGCTGGCGCGTTGCGGGACAAGGATGGTCTGCTGCAGCAGCTCGACGAGGCAGCTGATAGGATCGCCGCGCTCGAGCGACAGCTCAAGGAACAGGTACATTGTCACACACACATGATCACATTACGATGAGAGAACTTTTTTAACATAGTTAAACCAGACAAGACAATGATTCTGTCTTTTCTCTATAACTGAATGTAATTCGCCGTTGTTCTCTGTATCATCATAGTGTGTCGCTTGTTTGTGCACAGCACTTGTATGATTACAAAAGCGCGGCCCAGACAGATTACAAAGTGACGGTTAATCCGAAAGATGATCTATTTGATACGCTCAACGTGAACCAATGTTGTAAACACACACTTAATCCTTTTACAAAAGTTCTCATAGAAAACATTTACGTTTAAAATAGACGGAGGTAATTGTAAGAGGTTAACCTCCTCTTTCATAAAGGATAATAAATTTCCTACATGTCCTTTTTTATAAAATTATTGACTTAAAACAAAACATGTTTCATAGATTTTAAAATTGAATAAACCGGGATTTGGAATTTTTACTTTAGTTCTATTTCCGGGCAGAGGAATTTGTTTCTTAGTAAGTAATCCATTGTATGCATTCACAAGACTTATAAGTACTTATACTCAGTCGTATGGGTTTTCCTCACGTTTTTCTTCACAAGTTTTCCTTTAACGTTAGCCCGAATACAATGTTTTAAATAAAACTTACTTATCACGGTATTTTATTATTATGTTATACGTGTACAGTCACAATAGTTCTTAGACCGGAAATGTTTGTGATAAACTTTGTGGAGATCCCTTTCACAACTTGAGCAATACTTGAAGAACAATACAGGCTACAATTTAACTCGTCTCCCACAGCAAAGCACTTAAGATACACTATCAACACATTGCCTAATCTCATTTCTTCTAAGGCTCCGAAGCCTTATAATTTAAGAAGCGAAAATTTACATAAAATCAGCAATTTGCTGCGACGTAAGTAAGTTGGCATGAGCCAATTTATTATTTTATAGACTAACTGAAGATTATTAACAGATTGTGTTAAAATGAAGTATTAGGGAACAGCGGCCATGAACATATTGATTCAAGATGGACTGCTATGCACAAGATTGCGGTCATCCAATGAATAAGGCGAAGAGGCTTGATCATTGGATATAATTTCAAGTGTTGTTGCTAGTAACATGTTCTAAACATTACCTAATCTCTCCAGGAGCACCTGTATCAGAACACTTTGAAGGAGTTGGAGCGTCTGCAGAGGTCTCACGACACTTTGGCGGAGCGCGTCGGCGCGCCCGAAACTGAGCACACAGAGAGCGCGCGCTCGCTGCATGCCGAGCTGGAACCTGACGACCAGGGCGAATTGGAGGGAGACGGCTGGCTGCGTGCAGAAGCTGTTCAGGTCTTCAAGCAGCTGCGCACGCTCGCGCTGCAGCTCAACACCGGGCACGATGACGACTCCGGTAAGTTAACTCTCCCAAATAATATTCAATTTAATATCATTTTTGCTTATCTGCCCTAATTTTTAACTAACATTTGTTCATCCATTTCGTTCAATTTTATCATGTGTAACGCAGAAGCAATCCTCGATTTCCACCATATACTTAAAAAAAACAAGTTTCCGAAAACCAATTTGCAGTATAGCAATCGTATCGAATATAGCGGTACCGCGTCCTCTCGCAGTTAATATAACGGGACAGGAAACTCGATTATATTGAGTACAAAAATGTTACGTATTTTAGAGAAGTCTTATTAATAGGAAGTATAATCTAACCTCACCCAAAACACCTATAAATTAACTAAATACCTATGTTTAGTAATTCTAAATAAAGATTTCAACGTGCACAAAAAAATCACTCCAACGACAAATCGTTTTTATTTTTAAACGAATCTATAAGATTTACTTTTTGTTTTAATATAATCTTCTATCAGTCTTTGTAAACTATACAATGAAATCGATACCTTCGTTAACGAGAGAAAGAGTAAGCAGCATTTGATGTAAACTAGTTAGAATGAGATGGTGTAATAGTTTTAATTTCGTTGTCGGTGATGTGTGCGGCGCGCGGCGGACCGTGAACAAAATCGAAAGCCCGCGCCCGCGCCCGCGTGCGGCGTGCGGCGTGCAACGTGCGGCGGCGTGCGCACTCGCGCTGACCAACAGCACATTAATACATACGTTTCTATCATTGATTATTTAATTATCATTACAACTTCTAGTTAAGCATGTAAAACATTTATTTATCATTGATGTTAGTAGACTACTTTAGTAAATACTAGATTCTAAGGTACAAAAGCTACATATAATACATAATTTTGTCTCTCTTGTGTGTATATGACGTACATTTGTCGTAGTGACGTCACTATCTGGCCAACCTAACAACAATAAATCTAGTGTCCAACATGCAAAGTGACCGACCCCTGTGACCGGTGCTTGCCCCCTGTCTATGTCCGGTACAAAGCTCCTAGTAGACAAAAGGAAACTGTAAGCACTTCATCCATTTAAAAATAACCAGCTTTTACTCATTATATTATAGCTAGGAGGTCTATTTTGTTGTAAATGTTACTACAGCAATCTGTTGAATTAAGCACTAGTCACTTCGACTAATCGTCAATTCCTAGAAGAAAAATGAGGAATGCAAACCAATATCGTTATTTTTGAAAGATTTGTTCAATGTAATAAATTATAAAATAGAATGGCAATAGTCTCTAATCTTACGTAAAAAAAACCGTAACTAAGTGGACAATAACACGTCCCGAACGTGTCACTCGGATCTGTCGTGAACAATCCAAGGTACACTAAAAACTATATTATCCAACACTTTCTCCGACCACAGCTTATCTAACGAAGATAATCTAATCTGGACAAGTGTGAAGTGAGCATTTATTGTGGAAATGGTAACAAGTTATAACTACACCAGTAGGGCACATCGCATCGCATCGCGTGACTGTTTTGTAGGGCACGTGTCCAAATACATTGGTTTTTATGATATCATATACGGAACTATAGCACTTATGCCCTTAGCAATTCGTTCCGGTTTCGTTTCAATTCAGTTTTACGATGTTTTTTTGTTTCCGCCACGATTTTGGTCGAGGGGAGTTTGTTGGATCGTTATGTTTGGTTGCTACAAGTTTCTGATTGACCTATTTATTATTTCTATTTTTTAATACTGCAAAATTAAAGTCGCTGTGTTCGCTCGATTACTGTATACGTTAAATATAAATGAATGCTTCAACTAACTGATATTACATTTTTTTTGAATGTAAAAGAAAGTTTCTAAATTTTAGCAATAAAACAAAATGTAATAAAACGTAAATATCAGTCAGTTGATTTAGTCACTATTAGGAAGTATCGCTTATTGAACAAATAACATTTCTTGTTAGTTATAACGCATACATTATACAAGATAAATTTCCGCAAAGCAATAACCGCAAGAAGATAGAACCGCAAATTACCTTATAATACATCGCGACACATCACTACTTCCGACATCTGAGCCACGCCAATATACAACAAAAAGACTTAACTACTTACCAACTAAATACATAACTAATAGTACCAACCTTCAGAAACTGCACAAAAGAAATAGTGTATTTACAATTAAAAAGTATTTGTAATCCATATAAAAACCACTAAGATAATGAAATGTGAAAACCCGTCCCTACATACATAGTTCACAAACTAGAACGTTTTTCTACTTTTGCAATTAGTTTAGGAGCAACCAAGTAGCTAAGGTTAATCGACATCACGATTATCTTCCAATTAAATGGAATTGTAAGAAACGAGTAGAATATACAACAGACCAAACTGTGGACGTCACGTCACGAGTTTGTGTCGTGTCGTGCCGCACGATTTTAAAACCTTTGCTGAATCAAATCGTTAATGATGACAGATTATTTTACCTATCAAATGTAAGATCTTGGGGCATGTTCGATAAACTACGAGATAGAGATTATTGCACATTAAACCACAAAAAAATGTCTAAAATCCTGAGTCTTTAAATGTGAAGATTACTATTATATTTTTTCACATAGTTTCTTTAATAAGATTTTGACCGTTTACATAACTTCTTACATACACTATTTTCCTATGTAATATATAAAAATCGAGAATTCGGTGCTTATATTATAATCCCTTATCAGTGGGGTAATTTGAACGTGACAAGTGCATGATTAGTTCCGTTCGCACGTGTCTTTATATACGTACAGACGTGACAGATCTATGTGACATTGTCTAATGTAGCACGGTCGTTATATCTCATACGTTTTTGAATTATACATTTACGTATATAGAGGTACTTACGAATTGCGTACGGGGATAGTTTATCTGTTGAATTCAACCTGAGTTCAATTTGTTTTTAAATATTTATTTACATATCGGTTCTTTTATGGTCAGATTAACAATTTACTGCACTTAACATTAGCGTCCTGATAAAGTCAAAGTCTAGTGATAGTTCTATAACCAATGATTATAAAAATATGTGAGCCATATTATATAGTCGTCATGCAACTAATGTGATATACATTAAGTGTGCAGCAGCGGCAGTGAGAACGCATTGTACAATCGGCAACTCAATATTGCATCTCGAATTACGATACACTTCAACGTATAAACTTATAGCGAGAAAACAGTGTAATAAAAAACAGAAAGGTGACAAAAATGTTGTATTGTCAAGTTCAAAAAACCCAATTTAATAAAAATAAACAAAATGTTGTTCCGTTAAGATACATACAGTAAAGTACATTTAAACAAAAAGCAAGCTTACAATGAAACAAATTGAGAAATTTTACCCTTTAATTGTAATCTCTGGGTTTAAGATTCAGAGGATTCAAAGGGTACATGTTTACCTCCGCACTTAGAGACGTATGAAACTAAAAGTAGACTTTTTATTTGGATTTACTATGAGAAATTTACACTAGGATTAGCGTGTCGTAAAGCGTATGACTTGCACCAGACCGTACGTCAATCGATCAGTGCAAGTCGAAGGCGAGGTTTCCTCATCGGCCGGTGTCCCGTGGACAATGCACGTTATTGCATTACACTCTCGCCGCGAAAGTGTCGCCCCTGTCGCTCCCTGTCGCCAGTGAAAGCCAGCCTTTGTTAGCCGCAGCGCCACTGATGACGGCGTCACTCTAATATTTGTGAACCCTTCATAACAAATATCTCATCGTTTTAGAGCTGAGTATTCTAAACTGAAGGGAGAAATAAAATTATCTCTTTCTATCAAACTATTTTTCTTATGTTAGTCTTTTATCACAGATTTAATATGAGGCAGATGTATTGACTAAAATTTACTTCACCGAGCACAAGCCCATCGCGGCTGCAGTGCCTCTGATTATGATGAGTTGTGACATTGTTATTTCCTATTACAATTTATTGAATCCTTAGTATCGCTATCGCTATCGTTGACCACAATATACTCAGTAGCAAGTGCACGAGTGTCATCTTGTGGTTATAAAGGCGTGACCTAGTTAGACAAGGATATGTTCTACTAAGATGCAAGGATGTTGTTATTTGCAATTAAATATTTATAGTAGCAGGATCGATACTTTTCATAATAAAACACTAGCATACCGATGACAAAAGTAAAGAGCCTTACCATAAACGTAAGACTTCAGAAATGATTTCATTGTTTGTTTGCATTCAATTGACTGAACTACTGAACCGATTTGACAATTATTTCAATGTTCGGAAGTTACACTTTACCTGGGTAACACAGGCAATATTAATACAGTTTTTAGGGTTCCGTACCTCATAGGAAAAAAACGGAACCCTTATTGGATCACTTTGTTGTCCGTGCGTCTGTCCGTCAAGACCCTTTTTCTCAAAAACGCGTAAAGGTATCAAGCTGAAATTTATTTTTATTTTGCGAGGACGAAGTCGCGGGCAACTATTATTTCATAATTGGAACAATCAAAGTGAAATCGAAGTGTGCTGTCAATGACGTCACGTCTCGTCTACACGTATCCATTGCACAGCAACACACGTCAAACGCGCGTCCTGCGGGTGTCGGACCATCGGGGCTATCGGACATCCGACGCCGGCTTCAGGGTAGCGTCCAATGCTAGGTCACAATATACATACTGGCAAACAACACAACTTTTTAAAATCTTTGATGCAATAAAAAGTGTCAACAAAACAAAAAAGTGTTTTGTAAGCGTTACAGTTTACAGTTACTCATTAAATATATGCATTTTGCAACTTTTATTATGACCTGCAATTAAGTATATTGCTCAATTGCCTCATAATGTAAGCAAGTTTTATAGTAGAGCTTTTAATGCAACCTGCGTTCTCAGGCTGAGGCTGACCGAATGGCTTCGACCTTCGCATTGTCGCCTTGTATGACAACTAATCTCTTCTTACAACATTTAGTTTTACATAAAGGATATTATAAATGTGATTTCGAAATTTATGTCGCTATTTTATTATATTATAAAAACCAACCAAAATGTGTCTCATGCTACAAAGGAATAGCGCTAAATTTAATGTTTTTTTTAGCTACCAAAGGTTTTATTAGGCGTAAATATTTAAAAGTAATGAGAAAAAGATTAATGGCGTCTGTCTTCTGTATGATGTCATAAGTTTTTAATTCGTTTACGTACATATATAACAAGACAAGGGTAATGGTGCAATATAACTATTGCTAAATTTCCAGGGCTGCACTCGGACCTTTCTCTGACGTCGTTAGACGGCGAAGAGGGCGAGACCCTGCGTCGCGGGGCCCTGGCGGCGGCGTGCGCGGACGCAGTGGCTGCCTACGCCACGCTTGAGGGCTCGCGCGTGAGAGACTCCATCGCAGCGCACGCGCGCAGGGCCCTCGAGCGCGAGCGACAGATCGACGAGAAGAATGACATCATCGCTGATCTCTCCTCCAAGGTAAGGATCCTAAAGTATAGTACTATTCAAACTTTAATGCGGCTCGCAATTTCTAAACAGACACAGCTTTATACAACATTAGATATAAACATACATTCATCATCAGCTCACTATACGCCCCCACCGAGGGGCTCGGAGCCTACCCTAGGTTAAGGGTGATTAGGCCATAGTCAACCACACTGACCAAGTGCGGGTTGGTTGACTTCACACATATCTTTGAATTTCTTCTCAGATATGTGTAGGTTGCATCACGATGTTTTCCTTCACCGTAAGAACGGCGAATATAAACATACATTTCCGCAATAAAATTTAGATTCTGTGATTTCTACGAGCGCATGCAGGACTTTGATGATTCTAACGGTTATATTAATTTGAACTCGACGTCTAATATTAACTTTAATGGTTTATAATGACTACGTTGCCGTCAACATTGTAATACTATTCGCTTGCAGGCGCACAAACTGCCGTACTTTTATTAACATCTGTTTCACAACATTTAAATTGATAGTGTTTAACATAATCGTGAATACGCCAAAACTAGATTTATTATTTAAAGCACCATCTAATCACAGAACAGTTTAACTCAATCACAATAATGATCTGTAAAATTGAAAAGCGATTGATAATAACATAACAGCATCGATCTTAGACCGTAAACCAGATGAAATTGAAAACAATATCGGTAGGAAATCGATTTATACCGGCACAGTACAGCACAGAGCGAACGGTAAACGAAGCCACTGAGGTAACGATGGTAACGGCCAGTCGTAGTCTCACTCACGAATTCATGTATTTAAACGGTCATACGTCAGTCCTCTTTGTTTGCTCTTTCAAAGACACGTTACAAAATGATCCAAATTCTAACCAATAAAATTTTAATAAATTAAAAATATATACAAATAAAACAATATTTAAAATCTTTCAACCTTATTACTCGAATCGTTTATGACAAATCAACCCACTTACAACCTACGCAAGATCGTTTAGCCGACATGTCCAGTCTGGTCATTATGTCCATATCTGGCAGACAACTGACAAACAATGAACCAAAACCAGTCTCTCGACTCCCAGTTTAGTCCGAGCAAGTTCAGATGAGTCGTGGTCGTAGGCAGAACTAATGAGGTCTCAACTTATGATAAAAGAACTCAAATTAATAGCTTTTTATATTTGCTACAATTTTAGAAAATCTTGCTCAATAGTATTTTACCTATTATAGAGATATTTTGATTGTTTATTTCTCATTTGGAAATTTCCTTCTTTAAATGTTACATTTTGCAATGAACACTATATATAAAGTAGGGTTAAGGAATATTACGTATTAGTAAAAGTTAACGTTACAATATGAAAAATCTAGAATCGTAAAAAATGAAATTTAATTTACAGTAAATCTTACACACGGTAAATTTTTACTCAAACACAATAACACGATCGACACTACTAAATTTTATAAAAATCATTTAACCTTACTAGCTAGTAGCTTGTTACTCTTGTGTTATTAGAAAGAGACGGAGCATTCAGGCTTTACAAAGCGAGCTAGGTTGACCTGGGTGACGTCAGAGCGGTCGCTGCCTCCACACGACATGGGTCGACGACCAGCCAGAGTGGTCGCACTCCAAAGAGAGTTTATATGCTAAATACAATGCGGTACAATCTTAACTGATCGAAACTATAGTTTTATTATAGCGGAGTTTTATTATATTCATTGTTACTTTATAAACTAACTAGCGATTCGCTTTAGTGACAAAAATTAAAAAATAACAATCCGCAAAGTGTTAAATTAACCTCATGCTGATATCCCACGACTTTATATTATAATAATTTTAATAATTCCTCGTTTTATTGCTGGAATATTATATTCTTCCAGTTCACACTCACCTCAAATTACAAGTTCGCCTCTCACTTTCACATTGCGTCAAATAAAAAGCTTTTACAATATTTCAATAATTCGAAGACCTTGTACTAAAACGTACGACATTGTTTTGAGGTCACTTTTTACTATTTAAGTACCTATACAGATTCCAATTTTCAGATAGGAATAACCAACTCGAGGTTCAATAACCTAATAATATGTTTTACGCTGGTCTATCAAAATGTTAATTACACCCTTTGGTCGCCTGGCCTAGGCCTGGCTACGCAGCCAGCCTAGTGCGCGGTGGGCCTTAAAGTATGAAAGAATAGCATTGTCTTCTTTCACAATCCTCGTAACTTTGAAATTGATAAAGCTTGAACTTTGGTATACTTTTAAGAGTTATTTGTCACGCACTAGTGACATTTGTCAGCGAGTGCTGTGGAGGCTTTACTTGGCGAATGACGACGTCACTTCCTGAACACAATCCGGTACGATTGTCATTATACTTGGTATTTTGTATAGTTCCCTTGAAACAATGACGAATAAGTTCGATAGTTTTATTCCGTTGACTTTCACTTATTCAATATAAAGATACGTTTTTTTTTCTTAATCAGCTAATGTTTCTTGTAACAATTCCAAGTAAGCTCTGAACTGTATATTTGTAAATCCTTTATTTGTTAAGTTCTAAATTCTATGATATTCTATATCGTTATCGTTATATTTGCCGTGTAAGAAATGATATATTTGTTAAGAATAAATTAAATTAATTTGTATAAGATAAAATGTAATAAATTCCGTAAAAGTGGCAACAGCCTCGCCGCTCTCCGAATTGTGCTCTCAAGGTCAGGACATTATTAAGGCTTTATGTGCTATTTACGTGCCGTACATACAAACAAGAAAAAAAGACATCGCTAAAAGCATTCGAGGTTATTTCGCACATTTTGGTGCACAAAATCACGATTCTATTTTTTCATATAAAAAAGTAGTTAATTAATTTTATAAACTTTAATCACTTAACTACAATTTAAGGAAATCTTTCTCTGTACCGAATTAAATATTCAGCATCAATTCATTCGCAAAAAAGATTGACATGACAGCTTAGCGGGCGCCTTTTAGTTTAATTTCCTTCCATCTATCGATTACACAAAGAGTAACCAACACACTAAAATTATACTCATTAAACATAATAATCCTAAAAATTGCCTACAATAGCATTAGCCAACATTGAATTGTTTTATCACACAAACAATAGCAGGCCGTGAGGTTTGTCAGACAATGTCTCACTTCCGCGCTCTGAGCTCGCCTTAGCCCGCATTGTGTCGGGACAATCACCGCACCATGGGAGCCGGCGTATTGCGGCACAAGAAGTTCAATTTAGGGACTTTTTAATGTGGTTTTGTTGTTATGTCATATATATGATCCCATTGAGCACGTCGTCCGTTTCGGACCGACAACAGACCAACTCGTTGAAGCTGCTGCTATCTACAACTTAAACATGTTATTATTGTATTTCGACACTGAGCGTTTCGTAGGTGATGATAAACGTAAAACAGTATATATGCATTTTTTGTTATCAGCTGTCTGTGGCGGAGGTGGAGTTGCGCGCGGCGGCGGAGGAGCGCGACAAGCTGCTGAACGACGCCAACTACTCCAGCCTGCAGAACGACGAGGCGGTGGCGCGCGCACGACAGGAGCGCGACGATGCCATCGAGAGGAAGAAGGCCGCAGAGGTACAGGCACACAAACAACAACGCTAGCAACTAACCACGAGCTGACATTCATTGTGATTTATATGATACGCAGCAGCTATTGTACGGACAACAGATACAGACACAGACTCGTGTATATTTGGATTTGATATGCTTGGTATTTGATTGCAGGTGGCGCTTGCGAAGACGCGCGTGGAGCTGATGCAGGCCAACAGCCAGCTGTACGAGGCCGTGCGACAGAAGGTCGACCTCGGCCAGCAGCTCGAGCAGTGGCAGGTGCGTACTCAACTAAAACAACTACCAGTAATTTCCATTTTGCAATAAAATGTAGGAAGTTTCTAGACAACGTTCTGACGTAATTACGTGTCCTTTTTTCAGATGGACATGCAGGAGCTGATCGACGAGCAAATGAAGCACAAGCTGACGACGCAGGAGAAGCGGCGCAAGCTTCCGGAGCCGGCCCCCAAGCGCGCCTCCAGGCTGCTCGGATTTTTTCAGCGGTGATCTGCTGCGCACGACTCCTCGTGCGGCCGACCCGGCACGCCATACCCCGCACCGTCATCTACATTACATATCTACAGTTCGTTAAGAAGTACGACCCTGCGATATACCCCGCGGCGAGCTCGCTGTGCGCCGTGGCGGTGTGGGCGCGCGGTGCTGGCGGGGCAGAGGGCGGGGGCGGGGGCGGGGGCGCGGCGGCCATGTTGTGTCTCCTGTGCGGGCTGAGCGCGCGCGAGGCGGGGGGCGCGCTGGCCACACTCGCGCTGCTGCTCTCGAAGCCCTTCGACGTGTACACGTTGGCAGTGATACTTAGTGTCTTAATTAGAACCTTTTTAGTGATGTTGAATGTCATTTTAAACATTTTACTGCAGTTACTGTAGAGTATAAATTTTTTATTATACGCACTTTAATAAAATTAATCGCGGAAACTAGCTAAATTACTAAATGAAATTATTTACAAAAATGCAACTTTTTCTATTGAGGCGAATGATGCAACAGAAAACGTTAGTGAAACACCAGTACACTAGAGATAGCGTAGCTCATGGCACCTGCACTATCGTTGGCGATGTCTCGCACGACCCGTTACCCACTGACGCATCCATTACGCCGTCGATCTGAACAATACTAACATCCTCATACCCGAGCCGCAATGTACATAACAAAACTGACGTCACGTATTCCCTAAAATTAGAATCACATTTAAAAAATCTTTGGTGCACTAAAAAAAATAGTTTAAATTAAGTTAAATGTACCGTGAAAATTAATATTTTAAATAGCCATAATATTTACAGTCGTAGTTCGAAAATATTCAGCGATCTGCTACAATTTAACTAACAATAAAATAATTGAAACATTTACTAATAACTTTACAAATTCCCTAAAATTATATAAAAAACTAATCTAATTTGTTGTTATTTAACAAATACGTGTATTGTGCCTTAAAATATTTTAGACAGATTGAAAATAAAATGTTTTGATTATATTGAGGCGCGCAGACATAAATGTGCCGCGTCCGGCCTACAAACGTGCCTTGTTTTTGCAGATAAATTAATTGTATTTACATCAAATTATAATCTTTATATTGTCTATTGCAAACATGTACTTAGTAAACTTTATCACTATGTTGCTCAACTTATTTATTTATGTTACGATTCAATCAGGCCTAATAAAGATCAATTTTGCAGTGACATTAAAATGTCATATTTCATAGTTAAATGCTCACATTCCTTTTATTTTTGAGATTTCATTGAGATTACATGTATAAGATATATTTTGTGACTTTATTAACTTATAGTTTAAATATTTGCACGTATAAACGTTTTATTGCAGAAAAACCATGATGACGGAGAGAAGTTGCTCTATTTTTGCTTCAGCAAAAGTGTAAGTTTGCAATACTCCGTACATTGTGGCTGTTTTCTATTGTAATATATCGTTTTAGTAAGAATGCACAACTTATTAATTATTTCTCTTCATATTTTCAATTAACTAAGAAGAAACTCGATTACATTAAAAATATCTATTTCTTAGAAAAAAAAAACGAAACGATAACGATTCGACTTGATTTTTAACCACTTTATAACCTTACTTTTTAAATGTCTTTTTCGAATAAAAAAAATAACCAAGTATTATGTATTTTTTTTAAATCCGTTGAAAACGGAATGAAATATGAAAATGCAATCATTTTTTACAGTAGATAATAGATTAAAAATTATAATATAAGAAAATAAAATTTTATCTGTCTTTGTGTTGCTTCTTTTTCTTGGCAGAAATGTTTTATTTAATTTTAAAATGATGTACATTTTTTTATATTTCCGATATGTAAGTTTATAGTTTTAATTACACGAGTATTTTTATTTATTTTTAAGACTGAATTTATAATGGGATTGTAAAAAATATTTTATAAATATATTAATGTTTTTTACGTTTCGTCTATGAAAATGTAAAAACCGATAATATTGAAAATGTGTCATTTAATATTTGTATATTATGTATTTTACAATATCAACAGAATTGTTTTATATATTTATAAATGTATAATACAGCACAAATTTATTTTTAACAATATAATTTCAGTCAATGTTAACACTTTAATGCCAGGATTTGTTTTATTACAATGCAACAAAATTAAAAACAAAATACCAAAAGAGCCATTATTGCCTTTTTACCTCTAAGAAAACTAAACTAAAACATTACATATAAGCTTTTTGCAAAGCTGTATACCATTGTAATACAATTTGTCCTGGATTTTTTATTAATAAAACCACTTTTAAACTTTAACATAAGTAACATAGGCACTTCTGATAAGTACTTAAACTTTGTAACTTAATATAAGGTCATGACTAGCTGTACTTAAGTTTTGTGGAGATAATAAATAAATCAACAACTTTTAACGTTTTTTATTCAAAAATATTCAATAGAAATGACACGACAGATAATATCACTCCAGACAAGCGACGCGACTAAGCTACATATAACCACAAGTATAGTCACGAGACTTCTTCATAAGCAGAATATTGTTGCCAGTCCCTTCCAAACAATAATATAACCATAAACACTAGACACTCTCCCTATCCGCTAAAGAAGAGCCATAAACAAGAAACTGAAATGAACCGATCTGTACCTATAATTAAAAAAAAATATCCAATTGGACCCTGTTTGCACGGAAGACCCAGTTAATCTCGGAAATAAAAGTGAGGGTACAATAGTTGAAGTAGAAATGTATCAAGAGACGTACACTGAAACCTGGAACCATTTAAAAAGCGATCTACAAGAAAAAAAATGACAATCTCCGACATTTATTATACCAAGGTATCATGTTAATGTGCACGAGTTGTAAAGAGGTATTATGTTCTTAACAGTAAATAAGAAACACGAATCAATGAAAGAATATTTTCTAAATGTCATCTAATCTGTCCAAAAAGACGTTCACTTTACATAACATTTAATACAATATTTAGCTTATTGATTATTTTTATTAGAATAAATAATTAAAAGATTTCAACAATGCCGGAAGCTGTGGAGCAGAAGACAATAGACCCGGAAGCGGAGCTCAGCAATGTGCAGAAGACGGTTTGCAGGATATTTTATTTTATTTGATTTACTTATTTGGCTTGACATTCCTCTCTGGTGCATAGTGTTAGCAAGATACATAAAGAACAAGTTTATTTACTTAGGAATGCTAAATAAAATCTAACGAATATCAAATAACAAATGTATAAAAGACCAAATAACATAATTTAGAATTAGGGATAAAATTGATGAAATACGACGACATTATGTGGAAAACAGCAAGGGCTGCAATGGGCAGCAGACGTTGAAGATGTCAATTACATAAGCTATTCAGAATGTTGCAATCCATGCTTTGACTTCTGTAGGTCTGTTATTTTCGCATTCATAATTAAATACTTTACAATAACTGGTGATAGAGCCATGACGCCTGTAATCTAATAACATCGGGTACACAGACACTTTTCTTAAGGTTTTCTTGTGTGTGGTGGTCAGTTTGAGAAGCTGGCGCCGCTGTGCACTGTGGAGAAGCGAGCAGCAGGCGAACCTCAGCTGGCGCCGCAGGAAAAGCAGCTCGATATCCTCGCTAAGGAGCTGCGTGAGACGCTACTCTGCATCAATGTAAGTTATCGCAGTAACGATGTCACCTTCGTGTGACTTTTGCGCACCTGGAAACCTTTCCTATACAATACAAATATCTGCTGTTCCAGGAGTTCATGAAGAATGGCTAATATGTATGAGCATGATGTATTCAGTGAACTCTGAAACAAAACATAATCAGACTGTCCTTCGCATCGGCGAATATTTACTTTCCTTTAATCGCAATAATAATTTTGGAATCTGTGCGTCACCTGTCCTGTTCGAGTTGTCTCAACATCTTTTCTGTATATCAGCTTGCAAAGAAGGGGATGCATGCGTTGCGCGATGCTCAGACAAAGAGCGGGACGAGGCGCGGCATCGTTGAGTACGAAGCGCAGGAGACGCGGTTGCGCGAGGAGCGCGCCCAGCTCGCAGAGCTCGACTGCCTTAACTACCTCGCGCAGAAGCAGATCGTTGAGCTGCTCAAGAAAGTGCCCACAGAGTCAGAGGTGACCATATTATTCATAATTATGTTCCGTACACTATGGTAGAATGGACAAAATCACCTAATAATTGCCCGTATTTAATTTAATCTAAGGAACTGGCGATAATCGAGAACGCCAACAACCGTCTGCGTCGCATGGAAAACCGCCTGGATCTAGCCACCAAGCGCTTCTGCGTCGTCAACACTAACAACAAGACAGTGCGCGAGGAAATACATCGCCTGCTAGTTGAGAGGTTCGTTTAATAAATTTAAAATAATTAATAAATTCGAGAATTTTTTCAATTATGTTGTAAGGTAATTAATAATAATAATTTGTTATGATGTAGAAACGACTTCAACGTCCAATGGAACCGCACGATCGGCAAGTTGGTGCGCGGCAAGGAGTACCTGATGGACATCCTGGAGATCGCGAGCGCAGCCTTCGCCGACCGCGACGAGTGCTGCCGCAAGCTCGAGGCGCTCAAATGGAAGGGCCTCTTTCAGTTGAACAGAGATATATCGGTCAACTTAATTTTAACACTGCACTTTATATACTCTCATTTGGTTTCACCAAGAAACCCTGCTTCTAGCGGAGAAAAAGAGTTATGTAGCCTACGTTGCTATTTGTTTGACAGGAGATGCAAGCCTTCGAGGGCGAGCTGAACCACCTAGCTAAACTGGAGGAGTTCCTGCGCGTGAAGGGCTCTCGTCGCATCTGCGAGGCCGACGAAAAGGAGGAGATCAAGCGGCAAGAGGAGGTGCATCGGTGCGAGCAAGAGATCGCGCGCCACGACGCACTGCTGGAGGAGATCTTTGTTAGTGCATCATAGCTGTAACAGTACACTGATAGTAAAGGCCAGCTGATATGTTACTAACACTTGTTTTTACATGGCATTTGTTATTTCTTTTGTCCCTGATAATTATTGTTGAACTGTTTGTAGGAATATGCAGGCTCAGACCGTGTGTCCACTATAATAAACCACTTCAACACGGCGGAGATCCAGAACTTTTCAACGTTCGTGCTACTGTGCGAGGTCTTGCAGGAGTCCGTCATCATGCGCCGAGACCTCGAGGCCACCAGGCAGAGAATAAGTCAGAACCATATCTTTTCAAACATTACAAATGACTAATGAATCTAAACATAATAAAATTCAACGTCGTTAAACAAAGTTTTCACCTATGATATTTGTGCCATGGTACAGTGGACCAGCGGGATATTAACGAGGGCCGGCTGGAGCGCGAAGGGCGAAGGCTTACGGAGCTGCGCGCTTCGCTCGACGAGCAACGCCTGCGCACGCAGCGCCTGCTCGAACTTAACAACAACGCCGAGGCCGTCATCCTCAAGGTCCTCAAGGGCATCGACGACTTGGTCAGGTAAGTGTGTCACTGCGATATGAAACTTTAGTGTTGTTACATCTCTACTATTAATTATTTTAATGTTCTTACTCGTTTATCATCGGATGTTGTCCTTACTTGTGTCACAGACTGGCCAGATGCGACTGCACCCCGCTGTTGAGCCTGCTGGGCAACCACAAGGAGGTGACCAAGTGGAACGTGTCCAAGTTCCTCAAGATCCTTGAGGCGGAAGTAAAGAGTCTCATTGAAGTGGCGTATGGCGCCGTAAAGGTATATGAAATCATAACTGAAAACTTTAAGCAAATCTTGACACAATGTTATTCTATTTGTGCCCATTGTATCTCTTCAGCCTCCAGCGCCCACTCCCAAGGGTCGCAAGGCGCCGCCGGCAGCTGCGAAGCTTGTGGCCGACCCGTACGTGGAGCAGCTGAGGCCCAACAGGATCGAACAGCTTGTACCATATCAGCCGTGCGCTTAGTAAGTTTTTCACTATCTCTGGCCGGTGGGACATCATCGAAACTATTGCTAAACTACAAATAAAGAAAATCAAAACAGTGTAACTCGAATTCTAATATATTTTGAATTTCCAGTTGCGTTGAGGACTACATCATGAACCTTGTATTTGAGACCCCTGCCGTGCCGGCTGACGATGAATACGTGCAGGGCATTTTCCACCTCGAGGACATCAACACTAAATTTGGCATATACACACTGACTATACCAACGTAAGAAATATAACATTATATATTGTTCAAATTTAGTGTTATACCGATGTTTATATACCCGTTATATATATCGTTATTAAGTTATTATTTGTGGCTGGCTTGTTAATATTTGTAGCTGTTTCATAATATTTTCATTTAATTTTCAGAAAGCGACACCCATACCGTGGTACCAAGAAAGATTAGAAAATTGGGAATAGTTTTCATTTTTCGAATGTTTTTCAAAATATTCAAAAGCTGCAAGATTTGAACATAAATTTCTAAATGAATACTTGAAAAAACAAAATCAAATATCAAAATCATGTGAATTAATTAATTTAACAAGGCATAGAATTGGTAAACTATGCAATGAAGTCTTAATTTTAGATAGGTTAGCTTACTTAGTTTTTAATAATATCTAATTTTAGAGTTTTACTAATAATATTTGCATTATATTGAAATTGATTGCATTAATAAAATTATACTTACATTTTTCTACATTTATTTAGGATATTTTTTCGTATTTTATTTTGACTTTTTTTTTGTATGGTAAGAAACTATTTAAATTTTATAGAGTGGCAACACTTTTATCATGTAAATGTTGCTACTGTGTAAAGTTTCCCGATGTTTAAGCATTTTCTAGAGAAAATAATCTTGTAAATATTAAGGTTGACGAACATTTTAATCAGTACAGAGGAATTTGGAAATTAATTGAACTTATTCAGCTCTTTTGACAGTTAAATGTAAAGACTTTCCAATTTTCCCAAAGTTAGAATCACCACAAATGTTTAAGTATGAGAAGTGGGGAATTTCGTTCTATAGATGAGAACACTGATGATGTGTTTGTTTGTGTGAGTAATGTCTCCGCCTCCGCTCCGCCATTGGATTTCGTTTTAGCCGAGAATCGAAAAAGGTTGTACCTTTTAAAATCGGCAAAAATCTTGACAATCTCTTTCTCTTCGCTCATTTTCTTCAGTCATATTCCGTGCACAAACATTATATCCGATGGCAGACAGAGACACAGATGAGTTAAACATTGATAACGTAATTAAAAAATTATTAAAAGGTAATATAAATTCTGTTGTTAGTAGTTTAAAATATCAGTGTTTTTTTTGTTGTTTTTTAAAAGTGTTTGGAAAACGTAATCGAAGATAACGAAATTAATAGTGAAACAGTGTTATTGAAGTGCAGTTTTGTTTATATTTGGTTGTTTTCAGTCCGGGGCGAGAAGCCTGGTATGAATGTACAGCTAACGGAAATTGAAATAAAAGGTCTCTGCCTTAAATCGCGGGAAATATTCTTGTCACAACCCATCCTACTTGAATTAGAAGCTCCGTTGAAAATATGCGGTAAGTTCACTGTACAATACACAAAACACTATGGATTTAACTTTCGAAGTGTCTTGCTTTATACTTTCGAAATTGTATTGCATTACATACACACTTCTTACATATCTTCATTTTAAGCAAAAACTGATAATTCCTAGACAAAAGTTTTCGATTGGTATAATATCTTTGCCATATAATCGATCGAATATCTTAAAATTCATTTAATTTCATTAATATGAAACTATCTATTTTCGAAGATAAATTATGAAATATAACATTTTTACATATCAAATATTACTTGTGTTGTGTACTGTCATAGTACTATTTGGTATTTTATCATATTCTAATTGTAAAGGTATTTATAATATGTATGTAAATTGAAAATTTCCTACAATCAGCTATCTACTTCTTTGATTAAAATTTGACATTAAAACATGTAAAGTTCAATATTCCTTTGTTGTATAATACATATTGTAATAAATATAACATATTGATAGGTTATGTTTTTTTTAATTATAGTGTTTTTTCATCCTTTTTAACTTTCTCAAGATGAGTTTAAGTTTTTTAGAAATGTTGGAATTTTGTTGAAATCGTGGCAACATAAAGTAAAATTACAAAATTTTAATGTAAAAAAAGCTTTCTTGATATTTTATTTCATTAAGCTTAATCAGTGAAATTTATTCTTTTATTTACAAATTAAACTCTCCAGGGCATTACATTCTCCTGGTTAAATTCATAAAACCCTGTTTAATTTACTAATTAAATTGGTCTACACTGTACACAAACAGGAAAATGTTTCATTTGGTATTAATAATTAAATTAATTACAGTAGGTTAAACAAAGTATTGTGTTTTTTTTTTGTTAATTTAATAAATATTACTTAGATCATTTACTTTTTTACAACAAAGTTTTTTGTTTGAAAACTCACAAAACAAATACATTTCATCACTAAAATCTATATATATAAAAGAAAGTGGCGTTAGTTACACTATTTATAACTCATGAATGGCTTTACTGATATGGCTGAAAATTGATGAGGAGGTAGCTTAGAGCCAGGAGACGGACATAGGATACTATTTATTCATATAATTTTTTTTCGAATTTATGCCTTGAAGAGCTTAGATGTGATGTAGATGGATGGATAGGTGTTTGAAGATATCTCTAGAATGGCTTAATGGATCTCAATTAAATTTGGCATATGTATAGAACATAGTCTGAAAGAACACATATTCTACACTATTTAAGTTTTTTTTATATATACACGCGGAAGGAGTCGCGGGAGACAGCTAGTAATGTCATAAATTGTTTTCAGGTGACATTCATGGTCAGTACTATGACCTGTTAAGGTTGTTTGAGTATGGAGGATTCCCTCCGGAGTCTAATTACCTGTTCCTTGGAGATTATGTGGATCGTGGCAAACAGTCCCTGGAGACGATATGCCTGCTCCTCGCATACAAGATCAAGTATCCAGAGAACTTCTTTCTACTAAGAGGTAACCATGAGTGTGCCAGCATCAATAGGATTTATGGGTGAGTTAGATTTATGAGTTTTTTTTTAATTCTGGTAGTTAAAAGTTTTTAAGCAATCATTTCCTACCCTCATAATTTTTTTATTGAATAAAGTTTAAGTATGTTTGTTATTGTTATTCTAATATTGCTTTATTTTTAGTGTAGTCACTTCCACATATTTATATGTCAGAGGTTAGAGTATGTAATATTGTTTACATTGATATATAACATAATTATTATGTAAATGATTCTATATTATTTGCTTATAACTCTTATGTTCTTAATTAACAACTTTTGGTTAATTTGACATAAGATATATAAAGAAAACAGTTAAAGCATATTTGAATATGTTTATCCACATCACATATTTATAATCATTTGCAATATCCGATCCAATATCAAAGATAAGGCAAACAACGCTCCAACTGTGTTAAAACACGAACACGCGTCATGGGAAGTTAACACGAGTTATGCATCGTCACTTCTACAGCCCTTCATCAAATACATGAACACAGAAATACAATTCAGCTAACCGTGACATTGATAATAAATTTACTTACATATTTTACTCAAAGTAATACAAAGTAATATTTGAATGATGAAAATAAATGTTTTTGATTCTATATACTATGTATAAATAGACTCCGCACTATGAATAAATTAAACTCATTTTACACATGTGTATTGTGAATAAAAAAGTCAGACAGACAGACGGACAACAAAGTGATTCTATAAGGGTTCCTTTTTTTCCTTTCGAGGTATAGATGCCTAAATGTGTATGTATCACTATAAAATGTATTATAGATGTTTCATCTTATTTCGTGACGTAATTATCTTGTATATACTGTCGTTAAAGATATAGATAATATTATAAACTTATCATATATGTAGATTAGTATAAAAACATAATACCCTGCGGCAACCCCATATGGAATTTGTAAACAAGTTGACTCATTACAATGAGTCATTGCGTCATTAGCAAAAAAATACAACGCAATGTTATTGTGTTACGTTTTTATAACATTTTATGTTACCTTTACTATTGCCTTATAGCGCACTAGCTGTCTCCCGCGACTCTATCTGCGAGGGATTAAAAAACTTAATAAGTAGCCTATGTGTTCTTCCAGACTCTGTTCTAAATGTACACGTAATTTCATAGAAAACCCTTTAGTTGTTTTAGAGATACCTTCAAACACATCCATTCATCTATATAAACTTTCGCATTTATAATATTAGTAAGATAAACATTAGGTATAGATTTTAGTTGCAAGGTGTAAATGTTTATCTGTATGGATGTTGGTATATCCACATTGTTAGCACATGACATCATTGTTGGTTGTAGATAAGTATGTTATATCGTAGTATCAAATGTTTCCGAATTGTTATTAGCTATATTTAATAGTTACTATTTACAATTCTTGTAATTAGAAAAAGAATGATTAAATTACTTACTAAGGTTGAACTATAACTGATATAAATTCTTTCCAAAAAAATAATTCCAAACACGAGTAGAGATATTAGTGCGCTGCCCGGTGCACCCTCTCGCGTGTCGGCGTAGAGCAACGCCCGCGCTGATGGATTATCAATATAGAGTGACGCCTGCTATCTACAATGTTAGAACGACGTCCTCCACTAAACATGGAAAAATACATTTTACAAACAAACCTTTTGATATCAAATTAACTGTTAAAGAATGTCTCGTCTCATATATAAATAACAATTTTAATATAATTGAGATCACATTTCATTTGAGTTGATTATTAGATGGTTTTCGCTGAGTGTTGTCCCTCCCCTGTCCTCAGGTTCTACGATGAATGCAAAAGAAGGTACAACATCAAGCTATGGAAGACTTTCACAGACTGCTTCAACTGCCTACCTGTCGCCGCGATAGGTGAGTACACACACATGTGCCAAAAAGTTAAAATTGTTAGAGAAGGCTTCATTTAATTAACGGTAAACATGTTTTCATACGAGCATTTCCTGGTATTGCAACTTTCTAAATAAGTCTGAGAAGGGATTATCGTGTTTCCGTACATAGCTCAGTCGCTTTCCACCTGAGTCACCGACCTACCCGCGACGTCTCTGCCTGCCCCCCTGCGGCGCGGTCGAAACTCCCTCGTCACATCGGTACTAGGAATTTTTAATCAACGAAGCGCATCGCTCGGAAATCGTTTGCGAAATAATTTTTGAATGAGTCATATCAAAAGTGGCAATTTTTCCTGATTTGTCAGTGTCGTAAAATTTAAAAATGCCGATACAAAGGGTAAACGTGTGCCTTGCCTCTAATTAGGCCTTCAAAGACCCGGGCCAATTGGAGCGAGCCCTTCGCTTGTCCTTGGCGAAGCTCGGAGCCGGCATTTAGCAAAGTCGACGTTAATCGTCCCATAACACGGTGTGCCAAAACAAACCTTATTAACTAAATGATTGAGTTAAATTTGCAACACTGCATTATTAATGTTTTCAGCCGTCAAAAGCACCTGTACATAAGTTCTCTTGCGCCAAGCCTCGTACTAAATGAGTAGTTTCAAGTATTATACTTTGGCGTAGTGGTATAATTTACATAAAAACTTTAGTATCTACATTTTTGTCTTAAAATTTGTCTTAGCTATATCTATGATATGTATGTAATCAACTGCGCTTAATACATTTACCTGACTACTTGTGTACAGACATAATAACAATCTTGAACATCTCTAGCAATGGAAACCACGGAGCGTGTACACTTTCGATTTGTCGTCCGTCTAAGAAGCGGGTAAGCGACAGTTGTCGCGCATACTAACTACCTACTACTAACGAATACTACGACTACGCCTCGGCTATTGTAAATGAATTGTCTTTCTTGATTTTCATACTTGTAGCGATTATATGTATAATTACATAGCTGTCGCCCGCGGTATTAAAAAAAATTAGAAGCCTATATGTTCGTCATCAAAAGTCCATCCTAACATTCGCGTTTATAATATTAGTTAGTAAAATATCATAAATTATAAAATAATAACAAACCAAAAAAAAAACTATTCGAAGTACGTTTACGACTAATACGAAATCTAAAACAATGAACGATCTTAAAATAAATAATTGTGCAAATGATTAATGCCACAAAGAAGGTTGTTATTGTAATTTACGAGGCGCATCATCTCCCGCGACGCTATCTGACGCGTGCAGTAGGAAGTAAATCGTCACCGGCAGGCGGCAGGCGCCTAGTGGCAACCTCGCTCCGTTTGCTCTGCCTCCGCTCTGATGGCGCGTGCTAAGAATTATTTGCACTAGGATTTGCGACACATGTATTGTTTTATTACTGAACAAATAATGTATATGGGCGATGCTACCGGAACTTATAGCATATTTTTAATTATTTCCTGTATCCTCTTCAAACGTTCTTTATAAAAGTTTGTAATTCCCGTAAGTTAAAAGTTTGCCATCGTCACAATATTTTATCCTCTACCTTTCTCTTTCATTTTGGTCTCGTTTGTGAAACGCAATTATAACTGTTTTTATAAATTTTTTATAAGTGATTCACACAACCAAGGTAGATGTGTGTCATATTTCCTTGTACAATATGCGATTGGGAATTTACCAATAACATGAAATATTGCAACATGATAAAAATGTCTTGATATTTTTACTTCTAATACATATTGTCTCAAATCATTTTTGTGATATATAAATGCCAAGAGAATATGAAAAAATATATTTCTTTTTATTCCAAGCAAACAATTATTGTCCTCATTAAATATAAAATATATGTTATAGAACAAAACGTGAAGCCAACTTCTCTCGTCTCAAAGAAACTTCGCCGAATTACAAAATAATTTTACTTGTTTTCTGTTATTCACTAATTGGCTCTTTGTTGTTTCATGTTTCCTGTCTGCTTTTACCTTTTTTACATTCTTTATTGTACCAGTTACATTTCTACAATGTTATTATATATTTTCCTACATGTAATTAGAATAATGTGTAAATGTTGATGTGAATGATTTATTTACAAATGTATAAGAGTTGTTTGTTCTTGAATCAAACAGATAAATGTTGTGAGATTAGATTGTGGTGACGCTTCAATGGCAGTGTCACTGACACAAACATTACGATAATATAGCATTTTTATGTACATTATGTTTTACTTTTCTCACTATAATTACCTTTCAGATGATATTAATATGCATCTTCAATGAAACCCCATTAATAATTAATACGTGTTTATTTAACCTACTTACTGTAGGTAGTATTCGTATACCAAAATCTCTGTATAAAACATATCGTTATCCCTTATTTTCATCTTTGACAAGACAGAGATAACAATAAGTTTTAAATGGGGATTTTGGTCTCAGAAAGTCACGGTTAACGATTCTAAAAATTTAACAATCGACAATCATACCATTATCAATTGAACAGAGCCGTGTTCAGATAGAGGAGATAAAGGCCAAGCGTACCGTTACAATTAAAAATTGCCGTTTTATTTACCTATCAAAAGTTAAATAAGTCTTTCTGTTTTAGAATTGCTAACTTATGACTGTAGACTTAATGCTCTGCTAGAGTAGTGTCGGCGTTTGGTTTTGGCGAAACGCCAAGCGCTTAACAGAACTTGTATGGCAGGTGTAATTTCCTTAGGCCGGCGTTTACGAAGCCGATTCGTTTATCGCGCGGTATGTGCATATCATGAGAATAGATTAGATACCGTCGGCTAAACATGCGAATATATAAACTGTGAGTGTAGAAATTATCAATGTTTAGGTGGCTTACTAGTTGCCCGTTTCTTTGACTGTCCCTATACCTTTTCAATTCCCCCCCTTTAGTCTTTTTAATACGTTATCTGTTATATTTCGTCATTTTCTTCTTAGTATTCTTTCAATAACCAAAGTCTTAATGTTTTTCACGGCACATTATCGTTGTACGTGAATGTAAATTAAACCAATATAAAGGTATTAAAATAATAGCGTGGTATATAAAGTGGCGTGAGTATGATCCATTAGTGCAGAATTGGTGCCTACACCCAAGTCTACCTTGTCAGTCATTCAGTCAGTCTGACGATATATGATACCTCGCATCGCACCGCCACAACATTGCCCACAACACGTAGAAAATTTTAATATGACATTAATCCCGTAGCATCTTCAACTCGTTGAATGACATTTAACTTGCCTGTCATGTTAAATTTTATATCAAAAATATTCATATTGTCATAACGGCAAAAAATAATGTCCGCAACAAAATGACGTTTTCGCCGTGTAATGTGGTCGTGTTCAAATTAATTAGCAGTATCAAACCCCTCCCGCTATGTCCCTGACTCACTTTTATACCCTGTTATAATTCAATGACCTTTGCGCGAAAAAAACTTGGAGGTCGCGATAAAAGTGTTTTGTGTGTTACCGAACTCCCCGTCGAGGTCGAGCAAATGAGGGGAATTACACAGGATTAGGATGTGTTACTTCCTCGTATCTCATGTTAGTGCATTGCCGTTTCCCTAGACAAAATTATTGTCTTTTGTCTATTAGTTAGAATTGTTAAATGAAAATACACATGAATATTTAAATTGACCTTTCGTTTCATCAAAAGGAAAACAGCTCGGCGCTTTTGAAATGCAATGTTACCGTCTGGTACTACGAACTTAAGATTGCATAATGTTACATGAGTTAACATAGTCCAGTCAATATTAAAAAAATGGTGGAACTGTTTTGGTATAAATGCGATGAAGATAATATACCTACGGAAATAACAACGCCGTGTTATTCGGTATTCCTGATTAAGCTGCAAATAAATTGTTGGAAAAATTTCACAACTAATCTTGTATATGGAGGATTTATTGATGTAAGCCGAGCAGAGCCCTCTGTCGAAGTAAATCACGTATAAACTAACACACGACCTCGATAAAACTTACTTAATTAACTTGAAAAGCTATTTCACGTGATAGCACTTTCTTATAAAAATATTAATAGTTGTAGACGTTTCAAGTATCAATATAATTATATTCAACAATTGACCAGTTTTACGTATTGTCTTAGACCGCCATCAAATCCAGGTCTTCCTGCCATCTGTTTAACTAATCTGACATCACCATGATATTTATAGTAAATGCTTTGTAAACAAATAACATGACATTATCACGATTATTCAAAAGTAAATTAAAAAAACAAAACATTACCTGTTAAATTAAAACTAAACACGCAATTCATAATGAAACGGTTTTTGTTGTCGAATAGACCGAATGATGGATTGTTTATAAACTGAACCTAGCGTTTATAAAACAAACCTTTGATTGCAACTTCCCATTATAACTAGACAATGTTTACGTTCTCACTAGAAACATAAAGTCGACAGGTAATACACCGGACTTTGTGAACATACTAAATAAACTGATTGAATTATCATATGTCAGGGGTGGCGAACCTATGTACGCGACACAATATTAATAAGAGTTCAGGCAGACTGGGATGTTCGCAAATAAAAGTCACCTTTACATGATTGAAACAAGGTTTCATTTTACTTTTCACATCGTTTTTACTCTTGCCTGATTAGAATGAAACCTTGATGCAATGGAATAAAGTTTAATTTTATTTGCTACAAAATATATGCTCCGCTAGCCCCTAGTGGCAGGCGTCGGAATGCGCAGTGTAAACCCCATCTGGTACAAATTATCCAATTTATTTATGTTCTTTACTCCGCAATCGGTTGTGGCCAGCCGGCATACCGGACTTTAGTTATTTCTGGATACCATTCACCAAAAAATCTCTAATTTAGTAATATACTAAAATTAGGCTAATGTCTACGTTAGGGTTGTCTTTATGGATATACCTGCGTAACGCAACACGATCAAATTTACAAGTTTTCATCTTGATGCAGCAACTTTTACAATAAATACGTTCATTTGATGTAGAGATTTTATTTTTTTCGTATGGACACACATTTCGGTTATTATGTAAGTTATTGCTCACAACCGGTCCATGTTATGTGATTTGTGTGTGACATAATCCTGTTTACATCATGCATTTTTATTGATGCATCATCTACCTCGTAACAGCTGACATCTCTAGTCGCCATACTTGATGTTGTAAAACACGTCTAAACAATGCTAAACAGACTCTCTTGTCAATTCAAATATCTAGTGCGTTATCTTGACGGAAGAGATGTCACATCAAGTATAACGTGTCTTTTAGAAGAAATAAATATAAATTTTGAAAAAATATTTTTTTCTCGTATATATTTAGGAAGTATGTTGCCATCAAACGTTCTCTTTCATGTATCACTGATTAGTATTGTGTTCTACACGAGCGTTCTCAGGCAATACACATCTAGTACCGGACCTCACTTAAATGATAAAAATCAATCAATAAGAGCTTTATTCAAAGTAACTTTTATATCCAGATTGAAAACATAACTATTTTGCATATATTAAAAAACTGACATTTAAAAAAAATAGTACATAAGTTAACTTTTATGTCGATCGCTGTTATAAGAAAATTATCTTCACGCGTCACGAACATGGATTTTTATAAATATCCCGGTTAAAAAGTGTCAGTATAATTGAAAGTGGACGCGTTGTCTGGTGAGTTTTAATTAACTATGTTTACACTGTTATTACACAAGAGAGCAGCTGTAACGTTGCAACAGCAAGCAGTCTCCGCTTATTTAACATCTTCCATGCCACTACGATTTTATGATGTCTTGTCTGCCCGCATAAAATTTTTTCGCTAACGAATCAACAGCAGCACTGAATGTATTTACTATTACGTAAAGTTCTTATTCATTTAAGATCTTGCCAACATACCGGTTTTCGTCCTAACTAAACATTCCAAGTCATTAAGACCTGCAACATTGCGCGCGTCCGGTACACAATGAGACGAGAGCGAGGAAAGCCGGCAGCTATTATTAGTTGGCACAACATCCGTCAGTAGATTGAGTTCGCACCGCATTATTCCACAATGCTCGTTCCTTCAAATTGCATCCTTTTTACCTTTGTTTTGCGAAACAGGGTCAAATATCTTTGCTGGACTTGGCATCTACAGCCATATTGTATTTATCTTGTTTACAAATACTTATTTATCATTGTCAGAAATAATCATAAATACAATATAATTATAAAATGGTGTAAGTAATGGAATTTCCCGACGTCGCTGCCGACTGGCTTCAAGCGGAAGCATCCGTTTGCCTTATCTCAAGATAATAATAAATATAAATGAACTATTATTAATCATAGCTATATTATAATTAGTAAGTTGTTATGTTAAAGTTTGTTTTATTGTGATCTAGAGGTATTGAAAAGGTATTAGATGTGACCGAAAAGCATTGAAGAAGTTATCTATTATTCTGTTCGATAACATGTACAAGTGCGTTATTTCACGTGTTCAGAGCAACATTACCTCCTAGCCACGTGCTGTATCATATCAACACCAGGTCCGGCCCGAGGGCTGCGATCGCGGCCGCCACTTCGTTTGTTTACGGCTGTGCGCGAGCTTTGACGTCATACCTCTGCGTCTTGCTATAAATATAATACATTATAATATTGCGCTCAGCTTTTATACAACCCAATTTGATTTACTTCAAATATATTGTGCTATGTAATACTTTAAGCTGATATAACTATGCCTGATTAAGGATTATCTTTGTTCGCGGGTCGTTGCCTTGATTTGTACGTAATTACAAATAAAGTAACACTGAATTAAATTATTCTACAAATACCGAATAACATTTATTAGATCATACCAGGCAAGTTACGTTGTACTGTTTGCTTACAAACTAGATATTTTTCAAGTAAAAAAGTCCATAAAGATGTATCTTTCTGACGTAAAGAAAATTGTGGTAATATTAGGTCTTACTGTTTGCTACGTTATCACAGAGCATGGCAACAAGGCACTATTATTGTAAAATGTATTTTCATCCACAACTCTGCTGAAGCAACGCAACTTGAAAATAATTTGTAACTTTCCAGCGTACTTTTAGTTTGATTGAAAAAGTTTTCCACTGCTATTTTCAGCTTCACAGAAAACGGCTTGTCGTTATTTTAAGGTGGGAAATATATTTCCCCGTAAAATGATGACGTGAAAAGATTACGACAATAATAAAAGCGGGCTTTTGTTAGACAATTGAATCAACACTTTTCTTTACTGATTAAATTGATGCGCAGTGTAGTTATTGTGAAGAACAAGAGCTTGTCTTTTGTTGAAGCTTACTCATCATAGACGACATACATACACAGAACAATGCAAAACCTTAGGTCTCTTATCGTTCGTCTCTGAAACCAAAATCGCTGTTTAAAACATAACGTTATCTCTGTTTTGTCAAAGATATTGACACGGATAACGAAATTTTTTATAAAGAACTAAATGCTATCAATTTGTTCAATGTGTAATAAAATTATTTACTTAAATAAACAAGTTTTGTAATTGAGACCGCAATGTGTCTGGTGCGATTGCAACGCAGCGGCGACGACGCGGCGCCTCGACGTTACCAATGATAACCTCTGCTCTCGCGGATACCGTTCACGTGTCTCATGTCTCTCACCATACTATCCCACAATGTGTCCCACTATGACACACATTATTGTCACCAAATGAAACGATATTATCCTTCCAACATGAATGTGATATATGTGACCCGTGGTGTTGCAGTCGACGAGAAGATCTTCTGCTGCCACGGCGGTCTGTCGCCGGACCTGCAGGCGATGGAGCAGATCCGGCGCATCATGCGGCCCACCGACGTGCCGGACCAGGGCCTGCTGTGCGACCTGCTGTGGTCAGACCCCGACAAGGACGTGGCCGGCTGGGGGGAGAACGACCGCGGCGTCAGCTTCACCTTCGGCACTGAGGTACACGCTCACACTATTTTTCTTATCAAATGTCTTAAACACTGCCGTCATTAGCATGCTACTTGAGCTGCGTAATAATGTTATGTAAAACTAACATATTTGTTTATCGCAGCAATTAACCTACAGGTCGCCTGTCTGTCTGTGTCTCGATCACTCGTATACACGTGTTCGCCTGACCGGAGAACATTGAGCACAAATTATTATAAACATGTGCAATTTGCGTGTTAAGTAATTGAATCATTTGAAGTTTAACATGTAATGTTGTTGATGAAGAAATAACGTGCATCTATATAATATAAGTTCCCTGAAGTATCATCAAATGCATAGAATTGTTTTTTTATTTTTGCAAGCAGTACATTACATACCTTTATATAGAAACTATGTTAGTTGTAGTAGTTATGTGACAGTTTGCAGTGTCGTTATATTGATAAAAGATTGAGATAAGAAGGGTGGCGATGTATGGCACGCAGGTGGTGGGCAAGTTCCTGTCGAAGCACGAGTTCGACCTGATCTGCCGCGCGCACCAGGTGGTGGAGGACGGGTACGAGTTCTTCGCGAAGCGGCAGCTGGTGACGCTCTTCTCCGCCCCCAACTACTGCGGCGAGTTCGACAACGCCGGCGCCCTCATGTCCGTCGACGAGACCCTCATGTGCTCCTTCCAGATCCTCAAGCCCGCGGACAAGCGCAAGCTCTACTCCGGCCTCAACATGGGCCGCCCCAACACCCCGCCGCGCGCACAGCCCAAGAACAAGAAGAAGTGAGTACCGTCTGCCTCTCTCACACCTTTATAACTTTTCTATTCATTTGTTCCAACTTCTGTGAATTTTTTAATTGCCATTATTATATTTATTTGAATACAACAGGCGATCTAAAATTATTTTAATATTGCTACAAAAATAGCAAACGCTTACATGTGAAATGTGTACTAATGTGTGCCCCCCCCTCCTCCCACAGCTAGTGCCGCCGCCCCGCCCCGCCC